CTATAAATATGTCTATTGTGATGTATTTAAAATGAAGCTCTTATTTCTATCTTGCTTAAGACTTATAAAACATTTGTGTTTATTAACGAATTTACGTGAAATAAACATTGATCTGAGAGAGAGTTGCTCTGTCGTTCAGTCTGTACGGGGTGGGAGCTCCGTAATTTTTAAAATACATGTATCTTCATTAGAACTTTAAGTATGTCTATGGTAAAGTGTTTAAAGTGAAGCTTATATGTCTGTCTTTCTTGAGACATATAAAACATATATGTTTATTAACGAATTCACGTGAAATAAACATTGTTCTGAGAGAGAGTTGCTCGGTCGATCGATCTGTCCGGGGTCGGAGCTCTGCTATTATAAAAGTACACGTATCTTCGCTTTAAATTTAAATATGCCCATGGTAAGGTATTTAGAATAAAGCTTATATTTCTATCTTTCTTGTGACATATAAAACTCTTACGTTTATTAAGGAATCTGCGTGAAATAGGCATGGTTCTGAGATGAATGCTGCGGTTTGCGAGCTCGACAATGGACGCCATACATATCCAGTGGGTGTTATTGGACCCCATACCCATTTTATGGGTGGTTGGAGCCCCATACCTATTCTATGGGTGGTTGGAGCCCCATACCCATCCTGTGGGTTGTAGTGGACGCCATACTCATCCTGTGGGTGGTATTGGACCCCATACCCTTCCTGTGGGTGGATGTGATCCCCATACTCATCCTCTGGGTGGATGTGACCCTCATACCCATCCTGTGGGTGGTATTGCACCCCTTACTCACCTAACAGGCGGTAGTGGACAATATACCGATCCTGTAGTTGGTATAGTAGACACAATACCATCCTGTTTACAGTAGTTTACCCCATAGACATTCCAATGAACCATCGTTTTCTGTTAGCGTTCCTACAAAACATCCTTTAAAGATTTGTAAAGCACAAACTATGGTATATAATATTGATTGGTGAAGGACTGTTATTCTATGTAATCATTTTTAGTGCTTATTATAATTTACTAAGAACAACTAATATTTCTCAAAACAAAACTACGAGCCTTCAATAGGAAGTAGCTGATCTATAATATTCTAAGAGCATGGACAATAGTAGGTAAATTTCACAACCCATGTGGGACCTGAAAAGTACAATTTTTCTTATAATTGAACCAATCACGACTATTCTGCTATCTAGGTTGACGGACGGGTACTGTGAGACGTAAATTGGTACGTGAGGAAGAGTTTGGGCTTTGGAAAAAAAGTAACTGGGAATATATCACATATTTACTAATTCATATTCAACATATTGACTTTAAGCATTAAGTCATATATGTGCTGTCTTGTGTGAGAACGGGTTGCTTCTTGTATATATATAAATAAATAAATAAATAAATAGAAGTGGGGGAGAGGGAAATGAGAGGAAAGTGGTAACAAGGGAGTGGGGGGATGCTACTCCAGAGACAGTGTCTGTGAGAGTTTGTGATGGTGGAATGAGGAATTGAACTCGGAAAATTTCTAAAAAATTTCTTTAGTTCTTTTAACCTTTATTCCTGTCGTGATATTAAGAACATAAGAACAAAGGTAACTGCAGAAGGCCTATTGGCCCATACGAGGCAGCTCCTATCTATAACGTTGTTGTTGTTGTTAAAGATTTAGCTACTCAGGACGAAGTGTCCATGTAGCACGGGCTATGGTGAGCCCGTAATTGAGTTTGGTGATATACATGATAACCTTTTTCCTGTGATATTTGGGTCTAAGTTTAAAATGGAGGAGAGGACTTCTCCTTTTTCCCTGCTTATTTATCGCTTCTGTTTTAGTGCACTGGTTTTAATCTTGTTTTATTCTTGTTGGCAGGTCCCTGGAATACGATCCCCGCCGCGAAGAATCGTTGTTACAACCAAGTACACATTTTACTGTTGAGTTAAACAGAGGCTGCAGTTAAGGATTTGCGCCCAGTAAATCCTCCCCGGCCAGGATACGAACCCATGACAAAGCGCTCGCGGAACGCCAGGCGAGTGTCTTACCACTGCACCACGGAGACTGGTTCAATTATCAGTAATCAATTGCCAAGAATCCCTGGCGTTACACACTGACACTATTACCTGTGCACCTTACTGAATATCCACACCTGCAACATTATATCACATGGAATAATATCAACAACAATGATTGAATTATCACAATTCTACCAGAATGGAATATAAAATATTACATGGACATCCCTCTCAGTCCTTGGCTAATCTATGTATACTATGTTCCCGTATGTACCACACACACACAATATGTACGTCTGTCTACACAAGACATAAGTCCCTCTGGACTGACAAAATGTCAACAAAGGTAATAATCTCAAGCGTTCACATTTCACCCCACCTCTACAGGTTCTTAGTGACAAGGCGACGGAACACCTGACCTTGAATTCAGGCTTAGAGAATATAAATCACCAGAATACACACTAGGTACTTATGCATTTATACAACCGGCTACCCACACACTCACACAATCGTCCTACCATACATCAGGCACCCACGGTAGCTATCTTCTCACGGTGCGGTAGATGGTGGTAGGTGGGTATAGGTGGCGGGTGGTAGGCTTAAGTGGCGGCCTCCCACCTCCCGAGCAAGCGTAGCGCTCTCAACACTTTGGCGCCAAAACACTGATTCGAGATTTCCACGAATTTCTGTGGGAAAACTACCCCCTGAACACTTGGCACGAATTTTCCCGTTCCCTCGACTGCTACAAAACAGTAGCAGGAATTAGAACGTCTATAATCACTGGAGTGGGGATTTACGAGTCCTGTTGCAGCTCACATGCAAATTACCCACGATCCCAGATTTCTACTCACTCGCTCCCTATCTTTTCTACCCTCTCGACGATGACTCCAGCTGGATTCTGATGGGGCAGCTGGTGGTCCTGGTGGAGGCAGCAGTGGAGAAGTAGAGTAGGTAGTTATCGCGACACCGTCTTGCCCAATTTGGCCGAATGGGCAAAAGAGAGTCAGGCAAGGGTGGCAGCTACTGGCAGAATGGCGTCTTGGGAAAGGAACACCGGCTTCCCTGACTCTGCCTCACAGGAACCAATCAGAGAGAGGCACACAACGGCCTACCCCTCTCAACCAATCAGAGACGGTATAGCATGGCCCTAGGGCAACTTTAAGATGACCGCCCAAGATGGCTGCTCAAGATGGACGCCTGCTGTTGCCATGGGACCCAGGGTAGGAGCGTGGGTGGTGACCCACCCGCCACGCTCGCACTATGCGGCTGGCTGTTCCCGCCCAAATCTTGTCTCCCTCCAAGCTTACAATAAAAAGATGCTATTGGCTATAACTCTGTCCACAGACGTGCTACCACGGCAACATTTCTGGAATGCTGATGAGTGGGGCTCTCACATGAGTCCAAACACAAGACGTTTCGGGTACGGGTTACCAAACTTAGGCCCGTGCACTTAACAAGTGCACTTAGCAAGTGCACTGGCCTCCACAGGCATGTTGATCTAGTGTAAGTGAGCTGGTGTAAACCCATACCCTTACAATGTCACCAACCGAGGTAAGCTTGAATCCAAGGGGCTTATGGCCGGAGGGGGAAGGAAGAAGAAGAAAGGGGAGGGGGTGATGAAACAAGGGAAAAGGGGAAATGGGAGGGGGAGATGAAACAAGGGGAAGTGGGAAGGGGAGCAGCGGTCGACTCCAGTGACCGTTACAATGCATACACTCGGTTTCTCTGTCTACACAAACCCATGCATAGTTGTATGTACATTCACTTCTCCTACCATCCTCCTTCTGTTAAGAAAAGGGTTCTCGTGTCTCTCTTCCTCTGCGCTCTACGCGTCAGTCATCCTCAGTTTCTTGATTCTGAAATTTCCTTTATTTACAAATCTTTCTCTCGCCTTGGTTAACGCTTACATTAAATCAACTGTGCCTATTCTCAAGCTATCAAAATTTCTTTCATCCCAAACCTGTTTCCAACACTATTAGCGCTATGCTCTGCCTTCCCTTCACATCTGAACTTTAAAGTCTCACTAATACCCTTCGTTCTCGTGACGTAGAGCTCGCCTTGCGACACATTAACACTCTTCGTAGCAATCTAATTTACACTTCTCCTCCTGTTTCTAATGCTACTGGTGTCTACTCTATTGCCTGTTTGTCTTATCCACTCCAATACTTCGGGGAAACTGGCCGTACACATAATGACAGACTTAGACTTAAGGAACACAAAAGAAGTGTTATGTCTGCAGACACAAACAACGCTCTCTTCTGTCGTGTTAGGGGGACTCTAATCATCCTATTGATTGGTCTAAAATAATCTTTCCTGCCTCTACTCTTCACCGACGCCGTCTTGTCGACTCAGCTCTGATACACAACCTACCCAATATGAACCTGAGTCCTGGCTTTGTTGCTGTTGACTCTTCCCTCTCACAGTATATACGTAAATGTTCCAGCCTTCTTAACAAACGTGACCTGACTAAACCCTACCCCCCTTTTCCTTTTCTTACCCTCCTCTTATTCTTACCTCGTCCCATTCTTCCTTCATCCCATTATTACATTCATCCCATTCGTTCCTTTCATCTTGTTCTCACGTTTCACCTTACTCTTACCTTCTTTTAGGAATTACCTTCTTCCCTTATATGTTCCTTACCTTAAACGTTACCTTCTTTTTTTGTGATTATTCTTGCACATTATCTCCCAGAAATTACCTTCTTCTCTCATCTGCGCCTCACCTCACACTTTCATTATTTATTGGCTCGTTCCTTCCTCTTTCAAATTTCAAATTTTTACAATTTCCTTCAACAATTTCTGAGTCACGAGAAGTGAATAAAGGTTAGTTTGATTTATATTCCCAATTCAGTGAGGTTTGTCTTTGGATCAAACCTTTTTGAGTTAACTCCATTATTAATGTATATCATGAAAATTAACAACACTAAACCTTTAATATATTTTTAAGTTATTTTGAATTTGTTTCTTTCCAGAAAGAGATGCAATGAACCTGGACGGTTCTGGGCGAGGAGCATTCTCTTCAGAGTTCGACCAACACAAAGACAATGAAACCAGCAGAGAACGAGGAGGGTATTCTGGAGGAAGAGAAAGAAGGTATTCTGGAGGAAGAGGTGGATCTTATTCTGGAGGAAGAAAAGGAAGGTATTCTGGAGGAAGTGGACGCAACCATCATCGGCCACAAAGAGGGGCTCAGAGCATGTCGGACTTGAACGCAGACAGCGTTAATGATCAGTCAACAGGAAGAAATGGCCAGAGAACTAGCCTAAAGAGGCGGGAACATCCCATAGGTTATAAAGTGTTGGAAGGAATGCTCGGACTGTTCCCTGATGAGGTGGTGATGAAGCTGTTGAGGGAGAAATCTGGGTATGATCTGCTCATTGATCAGGACGATGATGTTAAGCCGGACAAAATGTTCCTATTAATAAAAGTCTTGTCCCATGCATCAGAGACAAAGGCGAACCGAGAAAACCTGTATATCCTCCTAAGCAAAACTTTTAAGACTAAGTTCATCAATCAGCTGGTAAAGTTTTCTCTAACCTTTGGATTACAACAAGGTAATGAGAATGGCAATATATTTTATGATAAGCTGTGGAATGTTCTGCATGTTTATGGGAATGTCATGCCCAGTCTGGCTGCTGACCTTCTCCCCGCAGTGTTCGAAAGCTGCATCATGGTTCTGCAAAGGATGTCGACTTCCTCTCCGGACAGAAAGTCGATTCTGAATAAGTACAGAGAAACAAGAGTTTTCCTTGAACAACACAAAAAAACTCTGCAGATGTCTGGACATGCACAGAAAAAGACAAGACAGCGACACACATGTGAAGATAATCTTCAACCACCTGAAGATTTCCGGGAACTATCCATCTTGCCCACAGCTCAAGATCTTAACGACACGGAAAAGCCATTTCTTCGGAGGAATATTGTTGAGGGGAAATACTTGGATGTTAATCACTACCTGGATGTTCAGTTCCGTCTACTCAAAGAAGACTTTGTGAGGCCCCTCCGAGAAGGCATTAATGCATATAAAGGAAAGTCACTCTCTCAGAACAGAGATATTTGGATCTACAAGGATGTAAGAATTGTTGGATCTGAGATGATGAATTTTGAGATGATATTTTACATACAACTAAATCTACCACAAATGTTCAAAATAGAAAGTTCAAAAAGACTGCTCTTTGGTAATCTATTGTGTTTCAGTAGAGACAATTTTTGCAATCTGATTTTTGGATCAGTATTTGATCGAAAACCAGAAAAGTTAAAAAATGGAATAATTGGTGTGAAGTTTGAGTCAAATATTGGTGGAGTAAGTGATTCAGTGTTCGTCATGGCGGAGTCAAGATCATACTTCGTGGCCTATAAGCATGTTCTTAATGCTCTCCAGGATATCACAGAGGACTCATTCCCAATGGAGTACTTTATAGTTAACGTTCATTCATATATGGTGACCCCAAGCTACGTATCTCAACGCTCAGTGTATGATCTTAATGTGATGAGAAGCTCCAGTATGATGAAAGAGTCAGAGGCTTGCAGTAAACTGTTTCAGAATGCTAAAAGAACTATAAAACAGCACCCTAAATACTTGCCGAGTCTTGCAGCAGTGAGAGTGTTGCGTGATCTTCAGAACTGGCCCACTGAAGATGAACTTGGCTTAGATGCATCTCAGCGGCGTGCACTTAAAAGTGCTCTTGTCAGCAAACTTGCAATTATCCAAGGACCACCAGGTACTGGAAAGACTTTTATGGGTCTAAAAATTACTCAGGTGCTTCTTCACAACAGTGAAGCCTGGAAGAATGAGGATCAACCTTCCCCTATATTAGTCGTGTGTTTTACTAACCACGCTCTTGATCAGTTTCTGGAGGGAATGAGCCAATACACAGACAGTATCGTGCGAGTTGGGTCAAGAACCAAGAGTGAGATCGTTGATCGATTTCAGATAAACCAACTTGTTAAGACTCTCCGATCACAGAGAGCACTTCCAGCTGATGTGCACGAAATGAACAAACAGTTACTCGGGCAGGTGAGAGAGTTGGAATCAAAAGTTTTAGCTTGGAGAAAGGCCAGTCAAGAACTTTCCTCACCAAGAGGAATCTTGAAGCTCGATTTTTTCTCTTCAACTGGCATTATTCCTGATGGAGCACTTAAAGATATCAAGATTATAGGCATCCAAGACTGGCTTCTCGACCAGAAAGTGTGTGAAGAATCTGGCATGGCACAATTTGCCTCTGGGAGTAAAGACACCAACCCGACAAACACAAACACTGAATCTAGACAAAATAAAGCCTTATGGCAGGATGCTGAAGATCTTTTTGCTGTTGAAGAGCGCGACAGGATGTTGGATGACGTGGACCTTGTAGATCACTCGAACACAGGCGTCACAATTCAAGATATACTTGGTTATGTAATAAAAGCTGAATCGCTGGAGAGAGAAATAGAAGTTCTCGCAAGTTATAACACAACCAGTGTCAATAATCCCGAATCCAGAACACTCCAGTCAAAGTTATATTTCCTTCAGCTTGGCTTAAAGACTCCACCAATTAATGTAGATAAAGTGAAAGTTCTTGAGGAAACTGATGTTACGGACTTAAACTTTCGTAGCCGTTGGGCATTATACAGGCTATGGTTGAGTAGGTTGTCTATGATGGTCAACAAGAAGTTATTGAAAGCTGAGGACGAGTTTAAACGGGTGACTAAAGCCTGGCGAGAGATAAAAGACCAAGAATACCTTCACGTGATGAGACACGCCTCAGTAGTGGGGATGACGACGACGGGCGCCGCCAGCCACAGCAGTGTGGTCCAGGCTCTTCAACCACCCATAGGTACACAACACTCAGGTTTTTACTTCAAAACTCATCAAAAATCTTCTTCATAACCATAACCTTAGTGCACAGTTAAGTCACATGAACGGGATATATTTGTTGGGAAATTGAAGCAGGATGAAGGGGTGAACCTGTGCCTGAGGAGTCTAGGGATGCAGGTTCGAGCCCATCATACTACTACAATATTTGCTCATACCCATGCCAATTGTCATTATATTACAAACCATTTTGTGTTTTTATAACATATTGTACAATTTCCTAAGGAAGAAGTATATAGAATAGGAGAGGCTTTAAAGCTGAAAGACAATAATCTCTCATTTGATCGTTAAAAATCATCAGTTCAAACATTTAAGAATGAATTTTCAGACATTCATATACACACACACACACACACACATATATATATATATATATATATATATATATATATATATATATATATATATATATATATATATATATATATATATATATATATATATATATATATATGTCGTACCTAGTAGCCAGAACGCACTTCTCTGCCTACTATTCAAGGCCCGATTTGCCTAATAAGCCAAGTTTTCATGAATTAATTGTTTTTCGACTACCTAACCTACCTAACCTAACCTAACTTTTTCGGCCACCTAACCAAACCTAACCTATAAAGATAGGTTAGGTTAGGTTAGGTAGGGTTGGTTAGGTTCGGTCATATATCTACGTTAATTTTAACTCCAATAAAAAAAATTGACCTCATACATAATGAAATGGGTAGCTTTATCATTTCATAAGAAAAAAATTAGAGAAAATATATTAATTCAGGAAAACTTGGCTTATTAGGCAAATCTGGCCTTGAATAGTAGGCTGAGAAGTGCGTTCTGGCTACTAGGTACGACATATATATATATATATATATATATATATATATATATATATATATATATATATATATATATATATATATATATATATATATATATATATATATATATATATATATATATATATATATATTAGTATATTTTGGTAGCAGTCTTTCCTGTAGACACATATTATTAAATATGACCGAAAAAGTAAGATTAATAATTCTAACGCGAATTTTCTCAATATTTCTTATGTTTCTTTTTACTGTCGATAGTAATTGAAAAATCAGTTCTCCAAAATTCATTTTTATTTCTAGTCTGACACGACACTTGAACGCGTTTCGTAATAACTTATTACGTCAAGTCAAGACCCACAAGCCTGGAAACGCACTTCGGCCAATCATCAGCCAGATACCCACACCTACGTACAGACTGGCGAAGCGACTCAACGGCTTGCTGACTCCTTATGTCAATTGCGCCTTCAGCCTGAAGTCTCCAAAGGAATTTGTTGACTTACTGCAGGGAACACGGGCCACAGTGATAAGAGCCTCGTTGGACGTAGAATCACTGTTTACCAACGTACCTGTGGATGAAACAATTGGGATGATAGCGGACAGAGTGTATCGTGATCCAGCCTGTACTCCTCTTGACATACCAGAAAACATTCTAAGCAAACTACTCAAAGCTTGTACTAAAGAGGCACCCTTCTTGAGCCCGGATGGGCACATGTATAAGCAAGTAGATGGGGTCGGCATGGGTTCTCGCCTAGGTGTCCTATTTGCGAACTTCTACATGGGTACCATCGAACAAAAGGTCTAAGTCAACATGAACTTGAAACCGGCCATATACTGCAGGTATGTTGACGACATTTTTATACAGGTACCTGATGTCAGACATCTGCAGGAGCTGAAGGAGGCATTTGAGCGGAATTCTGTGTTGCGTTTCACTTACGAGATGGAGAAGGATGGGAAGCTGCCCTTTCTAGATGTAACAGTCATGGAAAGGAGCGGAGGTTTCCACACTGCAGTCTACACCAAGGAAACAAACATAGGAATGTGCGTAAATGCCAACAGTGACTGCCCAGACAGGTACAAAAGGAGTGTTGTTAATGCTTATGTCGACCGTGCTCTCAGCCACAGCTCAGGATGGAAGCAAGTCGATGAAGAACTCTGTCGGGTAAGGTAGGTCCTAGTCAACAACGGCTTCTCCAATGGTTTCGTTGAAGACATCATAAGAAGGAAGGTGAAATGCCATGCAACCTCTGAAGAGACAACTAACACAACACCTGTACCCCCTATTAGACTATTTTACAGGAACTTCTTTTCCACAGTTCATAAAATGGAGGAAAGGGTCCTGAAAGATATTGTTAATAGAAACGTTACCCCTACTGACAAAAATCAGAAGAACAATTGACGATTTACTATAAAACCAAGAAAACTGCCAACCTACTCATGAGAAACTCTCCAGACACAAAGCAGAACGCTTTAAAAGAGACTAACGTCGTCTATGACTTCAAATGCCCTCTTGGGGACTGTAAGCCTCAAAAAAACCAGTATATAGGCAAGACAACAACATCTCTTTCCAGGCGTTTAACGATGCATAAGCAACAGGGCTCCATTAAGAAACATATAATCTCTTCCCACAAACAAACCATCACCAGAGAAATCCTAGCAAACAACACAGAAATCATCGATAGCAGACGGCTGGACGTCTGCGAGGCACTACACATCAAGAAGTCAACACCAGCAATCAGCAGCCAATTAATGCACAACTAAATTCTACCCACTTCAAGACTCCGCTCCAATATAGAAGCATCAAGAAATATGGACCAATAGGCTTTCTTCAATTACTTCCATTCAATACCCATTGTTTCGTGTTCTGTCTTGTGTTTGAATTTAATACCCATTCAATACCCATTGTTTCGTGTTCTGTCTTGTGTTGGAATTTAATACCCATTGAATACCCATTGTTGAAAGATCGTTTTTCACCCCATCCACCTCACCCAAATGTAGATATAAACCTCGAAGATGTGTAAAGCTCTATTCAGTTTCAGTTGTGTGTTTGTAAACTAAAGTCTTTGAAAATGTAATAAGTTTTACGAAACGCGCTCAAGTGTCGAGTCAGACTTGAAATAAAAATGAATTTTGGAGAATTGATCTTTGAATTACCATCAACAGTGAAAAGAAATGTAAGAAAGATAGAATAAATTCGTGTTAGAATTATTAATCTTTCTTTTTATATATATATATATATATATATATATATATATATATATATATATATATATATATATATAACACAGAAATCATCGATAGATACAGCGATAGCAGGCGGCTTGACGTTTGCGAGGCACTACACATCAAGAAGTCAACACCAGCAATCAACAGCCAATTATTGCACAACTATATTCTACCCACCTCAAGACTCCGCTCCAATATAGAAGCATCAAGAAATATGGACCAATAGGCTTTCTACAAACACTTCTATTCAATACCCATTGTTTCTGTTCTGTCTTGTGTTGATACTTTTAATACCCTATTAATATCCCCTCCTGTTCTGTCTTGTGTTAATGCCACATCACCCTTCCCACCTCACTCAAATGTAGATATAAAATCAGAGATACGTTCTAATCAGTTGTGTATTTGTGAAGTCTTTGAAAATGTAATAAGATTTACGAAACGCGCCCGTGTCGCGTCAGACTAGAAATAAAAATGAATTTTGGAGAAGTGATTTTTGATTTACCTCCAACAGTGAAGCGTAATGTACGAAAGATTGAGAAAATTCGTGTTAGAATTATTAATCTTACTTTTTCGGTCATATTTAATAATATATATATATATATATATATATATATATATATATATATATATATATATATATATATATATATATATATATATATATATATATATATATATATATATATATATATATATATATATATTAGTATATTTTGGTAGCAGTCTTTCCTGTAGACATATATTATTAAATATGACCGAAAAAGTAAGATTAATAATTCAAACACGAATTTTCTCAATCTTTCGTACATTTCTTTTCACTGTTGGAGGTAAATAAAAAATCAATTCTCCAAAATTCATTTTTATTTCTAGTCTGACGCGACACGAGCGCGTTTCGTAAAACTTATTACATTTTCAAAGACTTTAGTTCACAAATACACAACTGAATAGAACTTACGCATCTCCGATTTTATATCTACATTTGAGTGAGGTGGAAGGGGTGATGTGGCATTAACACAAGACAGAACAAGATGTGGCATTAATAGGGTATTAATTTCATCAACACAAGACAGAACAAGAAGTGGTATTAATAGGGTATTAATTTCATCAACACAAGACAGAACACGAAACAATGGATATTGAATAGAAGTGTTTGTAGAGAGCCTATTGGTCCATATTTCTTGATGCTTCTATATTGGAGCGGAGTCTTGAGGTGGGTAGAATATAGTTGTGCAATAATTGGCTGTTGATTGCTGGTGTTGACTTCTTGATGTGTAGTGCCTCGCAAACGTCAAGCCGCCTGCTATCGCTGTATCTATCGATGATTTCTGTGTTGTTTACTAGGATTTCTCTGGCGATGGTTTGGTTGTGGGAAGAGATTATATGTTCCTTAATGGAGCCCTGTTGCTTATGCATCGTTAAACGCCTAGAAAGAGATGTTGTTGTCTTGCCTATATACTGGGTTTTTTGGAGCTTACAGTCCCCAAGAGGGCATTTCAAGGCATAGACGACGTTAGTCTCTTTTAAAGCGTTCTGTTTTGTGTCTGGAGAGTTTCTCATGAGTAGGCTGGCCGTTTTTCTGGTTTTATAGTAAATCGTCAGTTGTATCCTCTGATTTTTGTCTGTAGGGATAACGTTTCTATTAACAATATCTTTCAGGACCCTTTCCTCCGTTTTATGAGCTGTGGAAAAGAAGTTCCTGTAAAATAGTCTAATAGGGGGTATAGGTGTTGTGTTTGTTGTCTCTTCAGAGGTTGCATGGCTTTTCACTTTCCTTCTTATGATGTCTTCGACGAAACCATTGGAGAAGCCGTTATTGACTAGGACCTGCCTTACCCTACAGAGTTCTTCGTTGACTTGCTTCCATTCTGAGCTGTGGCTGAGAGCACGGTCGACATATGCGTTAACAACACTCCTCTTG